TGAATGTATCGCTGTATGACTATGAATGTATCGCTGTATGACTATGAATGTATCACTGTATGACTATGGATGTATCACTGTATGACTATGAATGTATCGCTGTATGACTATGAATGTATCACTGTATGACTATGGATGTATCACTGTATGACTATGAATGTATCGCTGTATGACTATGAATGTATCGCTGTATGACTATGGATGTATCGCTGTATGACTATGAATGTATCGCTGTATGACTATGGATGTATCACTGTATGACTATGAATGTATCGCTGTATGACTATGAATGTATCACTGTATGACTATGGATGTATCACTGTATGACTATGAATGTATCGCTGTATGACTATGAATGTATCGCTGTATGACTATGAATGTATCGCTGTATGACTATGAATGTATCACTGTATGACTATGGATGTATCACTGTATGACTATGAATGTATCACTGTATGACTATGGATGTATCCCTGTATGACTATGAATGTATTACTGTATGACTATGGATGTATTACTGTATGACTATGAATGTATCACTGTATGACTATGGATGTATCACTGTATGACTATGAATGTATCACTGTATGACTATGGATGTATCGCTGTATGACCTAAACTTTTCTACCTCCACCGCCTGAAAGTATACATACTTTTTTGTTTTGTTTATTTGATATTTTTATACTTTCGCTCTAACCTAACCTAACCTAACCTAACCTAACCTAACCTAACCTAACCCGCTTATATGAGACCCTGAGTATACTTGCTTATATGCTAATGAGAATATACCTTATAGGACAGTGAGAATATACCTTGATATACGACACCTTGAGTATATCTGCTTATATAATGGCTTGAGAATGTAACCTGAATTATAGGACCTTGAATATACCTTATAATTGGGTTATATTTTGGTTATACTAAGGTCTAGAAGAATTATATATTGGACTTATAGTATAATATCAGAAGTATAACGAGGATATAACCGCAATAATAGACAGATATGGACAGTATTAGTCGGTAATAGACAGAAATTGACAGTAATAGACGGTAATAGACAGACATAGACGGTAATAGACAGACATAGACGGTAATAGACAGATTAAAGGACGGTAATGGACAGAAAATGACGGTAATGGACAGTAATAGACGGTAATAGACAGAAACAGACACCACGATAGACAGTTAATCTTCACTTACCTCTGGCGAACAGAAGGATGTACTGTACACTGTAATATTCACTAATAACAATACGTATTTTCTGTCCAATATGGCTGAGTGATAATATTTTCCCCCAATGGTAGTATATTATTTCCCCAACAGGTATTATTTTCCCAATGTTACAATTTTTTCCCATAGTTATTTCCCTTTATGGTATTATTTTTCTCCTAAGCAGACACAGAAAATTTCCCCAAATGGTAGTATATTTCCCTAGTTGGATCTATTTATTTCCCTAAGTAATTTTATACTCGTCTGGTATCAATAGTTTTCCTCATAAGTATTGTAAGTATTACCAAGAAAAAAAGTTTATCGTAAGTAAATTAATAAAGTGTGTGTGTGGGTTTCATAAGTATGACTTCACTCGTTATAAGTAAGAAGGAGATCCTGGTTGGCAACACTGAGTGAGACAATTGTTTGTTGGTATCGAGTTTACTTATAAAGTGTTCTACTACTTTGTGAAAATTATATACTTTCAGGAATAAAAAAGTTTGGGATGTATGTTAGACTTTACTTATATAGTGTAATTATAAAACAGGTGTTGTTACACTTTATCAACTTTTTAATACTTTACGAAAATTCTTTACTTTCTGTAGTTAAGTTTATATACATTAAGCATTATACATAAAAAAAGTTCCATTACTTTTCACAAACTTTCCAAAAATTATCCCCCACAAAATACATTTCCAGCCATTTTTTTTGTGAAGATTGATTTTTTTTCCTCAGTGACAAAAATAATCACGTTCATTATCATTCATATTATTTTCTTACTTAAAAACACTAAATAATTTCCACTTTTATGACACAGAAATAAATTGTTATTGTTTGCTTAAAGGTTTGACGGTTGTTTAGTCTTCAATGTAAACAACATGAACTGGCGTGACTGCGTTGAAACTTGTCTACAGTCCTGGGTACACGGACGTAAACACTGGTTTGTTTATGTGTATTGTTTAGGATGGGTTTGAGGCGTTTTTGTTTATTGTTCACTTTCGTTGGTACACTTGTAAACAATTTTATCACCCATGAATGTTTATAAATCACATTTTTTTTTCTATACGTATACTGGTATAAACACAATGTTGTCTGTTTGCAAAGTTGACTACGGGAAGTAAACACGGTATTGGTGGTGATATTGGTACACGGATCTTGTTTATAATTACGGTTTTCAGTGCGGATTGTGAGACAGACAGACACAGTAGTAGGGACGGGTGAGAGAGACAGACAGACAGACACACACGGTAGTAGGGACGGGTGAGAGAGACAGACAGACAGACAGACAGACACACGGTAGTAGGGACGAGTGAACGGCGCGGGTGTGGAGCGAGAACTGTGGACCTCCCGAGTGTCTGCTGGTTCACACTGTACTGATGGTGACCTACACACACAGCACCGCCACCCACGACCATCCACCTTGCCTCGCCGCCCATCACCACCCAGTCACCCAACACTGTAACCTATCTCTGTCACCATCACCACCCACCATCACCATACACCATCACCACCCACCATCACCACCCTTGCCTTGCTTCACCTCCTATCACAACCACAATTCAGGCCTCACCACCCAACCAGCCCTCACCACCCACCCAGACCCCCGCCACCCACCCAGACCCCCCGCCGCCCACCCAGACCCCCGCCGCCCACCCAGACCCCCACCGCCCACCACAGCACATGACCTAACCCTCACCTGCTGTAACTTACCTGTGAACAGTGAGAACCTTGGTAGGGCGTGGCACAGATGACCTTGAGGGAGTAGTTGAGGGTGGTGTGGGCGTTGGTGTGGGCGTGGTGTGACCAGGCCCGCCCACCCTCCACCCGGTGATGGCCCACGTGACGCGCGATCAGCTGACCCACACGATCTGTAATATGACCCCGACGTGTACTGGACCTGTTCTGCACACACACACACACACACACACACACAACCGCATCCAGCCCATACGTGCACGAACTGATCGCTATAAGAACAGCCCAGTCCCAACCATTGTAAAATTATCAATAACTTGTAATAAATCAGTGTATTCACTCCCAGTAAACACTACTCCTTGCACTGTCACTATGTTGAAATGAACTGTAGTTTGAGCTTTTCCACATCTAGTTATTATATGTCTTATGTGTGTCACTTATGTTACTTGTATATTATTTGTAATTCGTAACCCATTCCCCAAATATGTAACTGTATATTTTCAGCCTTCTGGCTGCCAAGCTCTTTCAATAAACAGTTAATTATTATTATTATTATTATTATTATTACACACACAGGCACACACACACACACACAGACACACACGCACACACACACACACACACACACACGCACACACGCACACACACACACACACACACACACACTCACCGGTAGTCTTCAGTGGTTGGTGAGTCTTGAAGAGTCGACCAGTGACGTCATGCCAGGCCTCGAGTATTAACTTGAAACTGACCTGTGAGGGGGAGTGTTGTCATCATCATCATCATCATCATCATCATCATCATCATCATCATTACCACTACTAATTCTTCTACTACCACTACTACTACCACCACTACCACTATTACCACCACTACCACAACTACTACCACTACTACTACTACTACTACTACTACCATCACCAAAACCACTACTACCACCACCACCACTACTACCACCACTACCACTACTCACAGGCCAGGGCGTGGTGAAGGGTAGGGTAATATCGAGGGCGCCGTGTGTGGGGGCGTGAAGTGAGTTGTTGGTCACCACCTCCGTCACCAGCAGCCCCAGGGTACAAGGCACCTGAGGAGTCGCCCCGCCCCGCCCCGTGCTGCCCCGGACATGTCTACTCCTCCTCCCCCACCCCCGTCCACCCACCCTCAGGGCATGGGGCATTGGGGACGGGGAATGTGGGCGGGTATGGGCGTGGGTAGCGTCAGCCAGTATGGAGGAGAGGTTACGGGCGGCGGTGGTGATTGATGTGGGTGGTTGTCGCCGACCAGGATGGGTGGCACACACTCTGTTGAGGGTGGCATTATTATTATCAGTGGGAGGAAAGTATTATTATGAATCATTATAAGTTACGGTGAAGTATTATAGAGTATTATAAACACAACAGCACACCTGAGGCACCACCAACCTACACCTGTCTTTACAGTGTTGGGCTGGACGGTTGATAGTGACGTCATTTATCTACTGACGTCACTGCCCTCCACTGATGTCATTACCCTCTATTGACGTCACTTCTCTACTGACATCATTGATTTACTGACGTCATTGCCTTATGACCTTACTGACCTCCCCGCACTGTGTCATACAGCTTGGCCTCTATGGGGTGTAATGTGGTGACTGTATTGTACTGTATATTCTACCTACTTCACTTAACAGGTATATTGAATCACTCTATGGGAGGGGATAATTACGGTGACCTCGGTGTTCGTGCTTCTGGGTCAAAGGTCAATTATTTTACACGCTTAACACGTTTATTGAATAACTATCTATAAGAGGGTATCATTAGGGTGACCTGAGTGTTAGTACTTAAGGGTCAGGGGTCAATTATTGTAAACCCGAGACGGCAGAGTAAATGAAATGTGGATAGCCAACACCATAGACTTTTATACCACACTATACAACTGCTATTATTGTTATAGTTGTTGACATTGTTATTATTATTGTTGTTCTAGTTGTTGCTGTTGTTTTTATTATTGTTATTGATGTTGTTATTGTTGTTGTATGTGATTATTATTATTATTATTATTATTATTATTATTATGGTAAGGTTGGCAACCCTGGTAATGGCTCCACCACTGGCATGAGACAAACATACAGTACACGTGTTACAGCTTCCATCAGTGTGTCATTGTGGTGTAGAGGGGAAAGCCAGGCGGTGGTGATTGCTCGTGGTGGCGATGTTGTGGTGTTGTAGGAGTGTCTGGGGTAGTTAACATTAAGTACAGTGTGTGTGTGTGTGTGTCTTTGTGTGTGTGTGTGTGTGTGTGATTAATCTGGTTTTATATATTTTATTGAGTTTATATTTGGGTTTTTAGGTATAGTTTGGGACGGCCCCTCCAGTAGTGAGAGACGGCCCCTCCAGTAGTGAGAGACGGCCCCTCCAGTAGTGAGACAGCCTCCGGTAGTGAGACCCTCCAGTAGTGAGAGACAGCCCCTCAGTGAAGTAGTAGCCCCTCAGTAGTGAGAGACGGCCCCTCCAGTAGTGAGAGACGGCCCCTCCGGTAGTGAGAGACGGCCCCTCCAGTAGTGAGAGACGGCCCCTCCAGTAGTGAGAGACGGCCCCTCCAGTAGTGAGAGTAGCGGTCCCTACCCGTCATTAACATAATTACCTCACTTATTGATGAAACTCTCACCACACACACTTATTGACCTCATTCTCTCGTGTCAAAGTTACTCTCACCTGCTACTGCTATTTCCTCACACACACACACACACACACACACACACACACTGTATATTTTCGGCCTTTCGGCTGCCATGCCTTTTCAATAAACCGTTAATTATTATTATTTTTACACAGGTAGCACTAATTCAGTACTGGTAGCAGAATAAGGCCTAAGTTTCCATCAGTGGTCGTTCTCTCTCTCTCTCTCTCTCTCTCTCTCTCTCTCTCTCTCTCTCTCTCTCTCTCTCTCTCTCTCGTGTACCGTGTCGTGGCGTCATTCTAGGTCACCAACACGACATCCTAACAAGCGTGGGCGTGACAGACCTCCTCGCCAGGGTGTTGTGGTGCTGGTGGTCGCTGATACTTATGTTGTGTGGACAGTACAGACTCTCTCTCACATGTGGGCGTCGCTGAGAGAGAGAGAGAGAGAGAGAGAGGCCAGGTGTGGTGTGTTGACTGAGCCTTCAAGAAAATATGATCATTAAAGTAACTGTAGCAGATGACAGTGATGGATAGTATTGAGGGAGATGGGGGGAGGGGGGAGAGAGATAGAGGGAGGAAGGACGAGGATGGAAGGGGGAGGGAGATGAAGGAAGGGAGAGAATTAGATGTGTGTGTGTGTCAGTGTAAGTATTTGTCACGGATCATTTACTCTCAGCGACGCGTTCAGTTAACAGACCTGCTGAGTCAATCACCTTTCCTTACCCGTGAAACTAAAACGATTGTTAATTTGTGACGTTAAATTGTGTAACCTGGTCACCATGACAACCACCACCTTATGAGTTGTTGTTGTTTTTCTTGTTGTTATTGTTGGTTTCTTTTCTCCCTGGATGGATGAAAACAATGAACACGGATGATGATTATATTTCTTCTACTGTGTTTGTTTATAACTTTCTAAGTGTGTGTCTGTGTGTGTATGTATGTATGTTTGTATGTATGTTGTATAAGTCTGAGTGTATGTGGGTGCGTGTGTGTTTTTATGTATGCATGTGTGTTGTGTAAATGTGTGTGTGTGTAGACGGGAAGGTGTACCGGTACTGTACTTGGCATTAATTACAATCGTTACAGTACCTAATACACAGTGTATAACAGGTCATCAAGTACTGTATTATACCTGTAAGAGGCCCAAGTGTGACGCGCCCTCCAGTGTAGTGACCACGACGGCTGGGGGCGCGGCCTTGTGCGGAGGGGGAGGTGAGAGAGGAGTGGGGTGAGGGATAGAGAGAGAGAAAGGGAGTAAGGAGGTGAGAGAGAGAGAGAGAGAGAGAGAGAGGTAGGAGGGTGAAGGACGGGCGTTGCTCTAAGCCCATGACGCAGTTATGTGTGTGTGTAAGGGGCTTATATATCTATAGTCTCTCTTTCTCTCTCACACACACACACATACACGCACATACCTCCCTCCCCCTCCTCCCTCCCTCCCTCCCTCCCCTCCCTCCTTCCCTCCCCTCCTCCCTCCTTCCCTTCTTCCCTCCTTCCCCTTTCGCACCCCCCTTTCTCTTTCACCTCCTTACTCTCTCTCTCTCTCTCTCTCTCTCTCTCTCTCTCACATTTTTTCACAGTCGTCGTAAAGCGGAAGACAGTCGTTCACACGGTAATATTTCGCTCACACACACACACACTCAGTACACGACAACTTACACCTCGTCGTTCTCATCCTTGTGTCGCTACATCAATAGACATGAACCTTTATAATATTCTCATTTGATGTACCATAAGTAAGTCTCTAGTTTACTTTAAGCTTCAGGTATAACAGGCAAACAATAAGGTTGGCTTTGTGTCGTCCGAACATCAGGTACAGGTCACATAAAGGCGTCATTAACAACAGAGTGTTTGGCTCAGGTAAAGTCCATTTCCCTGTCGTGTTGGTTTGTTGTGTTGTGACGTCACTTCATAAGAGCCAGTAGTGGTGAAGGTAATGTAAGAGCTTCCAAGAGACGCCTTGTTCCTGGGGCGTTTTACTGTCAACCTTGGCGGCCCCTGGACCCCACTCCAACCT